GGAACAACCCAGCCTTGCTGATCGGCACTACCACCACCTAATAATCCTGTTATATCCTCTGGTCAGCTCTCTCCCACCCTACACACAGCTACTCCTCCTATTCTCCACTTAACTTTGAATTCAGCCCCACTCCTTGCCCTCCCTCCTACTTCACAGACACCACGGAAGTCACAGATTAGATCCATCCCCCAGCATCTTGCCACCACACCACCCTGTCCACCTGCCCTCTGGTCCCTTCACCCTAATCTCACTCTTGAACTCTGTGTCAGAGGAGCTCAAACTCTAGGACAGTGCTGTACAATAGATCTTTTTTGCAATGATGGAACTGTTCTTTATCTGCACTTCCCTAGCCACTAGCCACATGTGGCTACTAAGCACTTAAAATGTGGCTAGTACAACCAAATAACTAAATTATTTTATTTTACTTAATTGAAGTAGTTAGATGTGGCTAGTGGCTACTGTATTGTATGGTGCAACTCTAGAGACTAGTCTTTCCCCCTCCCATGTTCCCAGCCTCACCTTACCCATCAGCGATTATCATGTCCTTCTCTCTATTATCCCCTTCCTACTACAGCCCCCGCCCCTCATCTTTCTCTGGACCTTTGCAGCTCAACTTCTTGATGGATTTGTCTCTACGTCCTCTTCTCTCACTCACATCTCAGCCCACAATCATCCGGCTCCCACACCTGCACCCTCTCCGTGCCCCAGGTCTACACGTGCTTTTGTCCTCCCCATCCTCCCATCTGCTCCCCATCTAGTAAACCGATCCTCCTGGAAGCCTCAACTGAAAAGTCTGGAAAAAAGAAAAGGTTTTCTTAGGAAGCCTTACCTGCCACACCATCCCGGAATATGTTTAGTGTCCCAGCTGTGTCCTGTGTTCCTTGGGACTCAGCATGTCACCGTTTATTATAAATGCCCACGTAATTGTCAGGCTTCCCTGCAGACTGGTCACCCCATGAGGGTAGCGGCTGAGTTCCCTCATGCACCATGCCTGTACCAGGCACAAAATGTGTGTTCAGTCAATATTTGTTGAAGAAATGCCCTAGGAAGAGGGAGAGAAAAAGTCACAACCTAGTGGGGGAGACTATAGCTGAACAAGTAAGTGACAGCTGCTTCAGTGGAAGACCCAGTAGGGCAGAGGGAGCACTGGAGTAAGGGGAATTGAAGGTTGGAAAGACTTCACAAGAACGTGACATCTCCAGTGGAAGTGAAAGGACAGAATATGTTTACAGGCGGATAGGGCGGTAGAGTATTTCAGGGAGAGGAATGTCATGAGCCCAAAACCAGACATGAAATGGCAAGGAGCAGAAAGAAACGGAGTGCTGGCTTGAAGGGTCAGAGAAGGGAGCTGTAAGAAAGGAGGACGGGGACTAGAGCTGGGCCTGAAAGAAAGGGTCTTGTCTTGTGGGTCGAGCACTTTATCCTCAACCAAGAAATGGCCTGTTCACCTTTGAGATTTTCCATTTGCCTCTTTCCTTGAGGGCTCACAGGGACTTTCAAGAGAGTAACCAAGGCGGTGGTGTGGGGAACAGATTCAGGGACATGAGGCAAAGCTCAGGAGATGAGACAGGTAGGAACACGAACAAGCACAGAGCAGCAGGGATGGAGAACAGAGGACCACTTCTGGAGAGTTTCCTGCAGTTGCAATAGCCGGACTTAGGTTGCTGCTAGATGGATGTGCGGGAATAATGAAGCAAGAGGTGTCAGCAGTGACTGCACAGTACTGGACAGTGTTGCCTGAGAAGGGAATTTGACAGAAAAATGAGGTTTAGAGGGGTCCACGGCAGCCATAGAGCTTCCCTGCTCAGCTCCCCCTTTGAAAGAGAACCTTCCGCAAGAAGTGTAATTCATTGACAGCTTCCAGCTAGGAGTGCCTTTAGGCTCTGCCTCTACTTTCACACCAAGGTCACTCACTGCCAGTGGCTGAGCATGGCCATTTCTGGCTAGCTCAGGACTCATCTCTGGGTGATCTTGATGCTGGAACTCCCTGTTGGGCTGGCAGAGGCTTTCTCAGAACCACACTGCAGTCTGAGGCTCTTCCTATCCAGTCCTCTTCCTTCCCCTTCTCCTTTCTCAGGGATCAGACCTGCATCTCAGTCTAAAGGCTCTTCCCTCTTACTCCTGCTGTCTCCCGCTTTATCTCCCATAGGCATTCCCCCCAATAAACCTCTTGCACACCTAGTTCCATCTTGGCATTCGCTTCTCAGGGGACACAGCTGACAGGCATAAAAACCCACACCAGTGCTTTCCCCTTCTTGCGCCCTGTGTGAAGTGCTCCTGTGCATCAGCTCATTATCCTCCCAGCAGACCGATGAGGTGGGCACCCTTATCATCTTCACTTTACAGCTGAGAATTGGGGCTCCAAGAGAACAAATGCCTTGCCTAGGGTCGCATGGCTGGGGAGTGATGGAGTCCAAAGTCATGTCTAGGTGTGCCTTACTCCAAAACTCAGGCTCTCATCTCCTGTACCAGCAAGTCTTTGGGGGCCGTCCTGGAGACAGTGGCCAAGCAGATGAGAAGGACTGGATGGGTGATCTTGAGAGACCTCTAGGCCCTACTTTTTCCATCTCTGTGACTTTAGGGACACACACAGATGTCCATACTTGCATGCACATGAACATGTAC